CCCACCCCACCCCATGAACTCTACTCCCTGGAATCCTTTGCTAAGGGCAATGGGAAAATAAACCAGAGAGATAAGAGCTTTCTGGGGGTAGGAGAGCTTGGGGGACTCACTAGCTTTATGCTAATAAGGGTCAAAGCCCCTAGTAGCTGGGAGGTCTGGTGGCCCCTTAAACAGAGCTGGGCTCTCGGGGGCCGGCATGGTGAAAGGGGTCCAACTCGCTGAAGTTAGGGGGCTGGAGTAAGTCTCGCTTCCCGGGTCCAGGAATTTGGGGGTCTCTCCTCTCTTCAGTATCGCATCCCGAGAGATCTGCAGCCAAACGAAGCCTGGAAAAGGTGAGAGTGGGGCATGATGGGGCGGGGGGCACTCACCTCCTACCCTGCGCAGGGCTTGCCAGGTATGCCTTTGGCGCCTCCGTTGTCCTGTGTCCCAGCGTCTGTCTGTCGGTCAGTCTCTGGACAGAGTGCTTGGCCATGCTCTTGCCAGGGAAGGGGCAGGGCTGGGCAGTTCCTGCTGAAATTGGAACTCTGTGATCCAGAGGCCCCCCCGCAAGGTCCAGCTGGTGGCGGAGGTGGCACCAGGAGGGGTGAAAACAGGCCTTGGTGGGGGCAGGAGGGGGGCATGCCTGGGGAGCTGGGGCAGGCACCTGAGTGGGGGATCCCGGAACCCCTGAAAGTTCAGTGACACCTCCATAGTTCCCACTTCCCCCTGCAACAAGAATCACTCCAAACTTCCCGAACACTTTGGACCCAGCAATTCCAGTTTCTCCTGATGAGAGATCTCAAAGGTCTGCACAGGTTAGTAACAAGGAGAGCTGGTGACCGCCTATGCGTCCAATCATGGGGACCACCTGGTCAAGGAAGAGAGGATGGACACCATGTCACAGTCACCTCACTGCTGGAATGGACACTGTCTACCTGTAGGATGGTGGCGAGGACTCAGGTAGACTATGCCAGGATTTAGAATTTAGAAGACTAAACAATGGGCTGGCAGGCTGGACCCAGCGTTTCAGGGAAACAAAGACTCCAGAAACTTCTGGGGTCCTCTTTTCTGGCCGAACGATCCCAGAGATGCACACGGCTCCTTGGGGGTCTGAACAGAAGGGCGTGGGAGACTACCGCGCCCGGCCTGTATTTTCTAAATCAGATTATGGTATAATAAAAAACAAATGGTTTTTGATCCAGGTTCCTAGTACTGGCTCCTAAAATCCTTGGAATCTTCTGAGTGATAAGAATGTCTTTTGTATGCCAATGAGTGACTCAAGTCAAGGTAGGGATTCCTAGAAAGCCAGTTGTATGATAGAGGCTGGCTGGCCGGAAAAACCCACCAGGTGATTGGAGTTAGAACTTTCAGTCCCCTCCCAACTCACCTCCCAGGAAGGGAGAGGGGCTGAGAGATTAGGCTTAATCACCATGACTATGTAATGAAACCTTGATTTAAAAAAAAAAAAAAAACAAAACAAAAAACCCTAAACCATGGAGTTCCTGGAGCTTCCAGGTTCATGCACAGGTAGAGATGCTGAGAGTGTGGAACATGGAAGAAGGCAAGGAGCTCTGAGTTACTCTCTACCCCTCATAACTCACTATACATCTCTTCAATTTGGCTGCGTCTGAATTGCATCCTCTGTAATCAACCCGAAAACGTAAGTAAAGCATTTTTCTGAGCTCATGGGAACTCCTGAATTTGTAGTTTCTGTGGCAGAACTGCAGGTAGCTTGAGCACTCTATTTGCGGCTGTGTCTGAAGTGGGGGGTCTCGTAGGACTAATCTTTTTGAGACAGTCTTGCTCTGTCGCCCAGGCTGGATGGAGTTCAATGGCGCAATCTTGGCTCACTGCAACTTCTACCGCCCAGGTTCAAGCGATTCTCCTGTCTCAGCCTCCCACATAGCTGCAATTACAGGTGCTTGCCATTAGGCCTGGGTAATTTTTGTATTTTTAGTAGAGATGGGATTTCACCATGTTGGCCAGGCTGGTCTTGAACTCCTGACCTTGTGATCCACCCACCTTGGCCTCCCTAAGTGCTGGGATTACAGGTGTGAGCCACCACGCCAGTCCCAGGACTAATCTCTTAACCTGTGGAGTCTATGCTAAATCCTAATAGTCTCAGAATTGACTTGTTGGACACCAAGTTGTGGAGAATTGGAAAACTGGTGTAGAAAATCCCCACACGTTTGGTGCTAATAATGATGTCAGAAACGACAACATTACAAATACTATGGGAGTATTTAAATTTACCCAATTGTTACTCAAAAAGCAAACTGCAAGTTGAGAGCGGTGGCTCACGCCTGTAATCCTAGCACTTTGGGAGGCTGAGGCAGGGATCACTTGAGGTCAGGAGTTTGAGACCAGCCTGGCAAACATGGCAAAAACCTGTCTCTACTAAAAATACAAAAACTTGCTGGGTGTGGTTATGCATTCCTGCAGTCCCAGCTACTTTGGGAGGCTTGAGGCAGGAGAATCGCTCGAACTTGTGAGGCAGAGGTTGCAGTGAGCCGAGACCGTACCATTGCACTCCAGCTTGGGTGACAGAGCCAGATCCTGTCTCAAAGAAAAAGAAAATCACATAGCAGATTGTAAATTCCTGGCATATCCAACAGTTACTGTGAGAACATCTCTTTTTTTTTTTGAAATGGAATCTCCCTCTGTTGCTGAAATTTAAAAATAAAAATAAAGTCCAGGCGCAGTTGCTCGCCCCTGTAATCCTAGCACTTTGGGAGGCCAAGGTGGGTGGATCACAAGGTCAGAAGTTCGAGACTGGCCTGGCCAACATGGTGAAAACCTGTCTCGACTAAAAATACAAAAATTAGCTGGGTATGGTGGCGGGAGCCTATAATCCCAGCTACTCAGGAGGCTGAGGCAGGAGAATTGCTTGAACCCAGGAGGTGGAGGTTGCAGTGAGCCAAGATCGTGCCACTGCACTCTTAAAAAAATAAATAGGGACATAAATAAATAAATAAAGCAAAAATTGAGGTCATTGTTAATGAGTGAACATACACAATTAGATATGGTTAATAGGTACAGAGTACAGCAGTGTCCCCATGTCCTTGGTTTCACTCACTGACATTTCAGTTACCCATGGCCAACTGCAGTCTGAAAATATTACATGGAAAATTCCAGAAAAAAAACCATTTATAAGTTTTAAATGGCCTGCCACTCTGTGTTGCAGGATAAAATCTCACACCGTCCAGCTCTGTCACTCTTCTCATTGTGTGTTTTATGATCTCACATCATCACAAGAAGTGTAGGTAAAGTACAATAAGACATTTAGAGAGAGAAAGAAACCATTCACATAACTTGTATTACAGTATATTGTTATAATTGTTCCATTTTATTATGTATTGTTTATTACTATGCCTAATTTATAAATTAAACTTTATCATAGGAATGTATGTATATAAAGAGTTTGGTACTATCCTCAGTTTCTGGCATCCACTGAGGTTCTTGGGACATAGTCTTTGTAGGTAAGGAAGGATCACTGTATTATGTGGTGTAATAAAGTATATGTTTAGTCTTTGTCCCCAGTTCCTAGCTCAAATCATCTAAAACCATGGGAATTTCCTGAGTGATAGTAGCTTTTGTTATTCATTTCAAGTGCCTTCAATCACACCTCCGATTATGCTAACAAGGTGACTCAGGGTGGGGCATCTTGATAGCTTCATAGCTTCAGGATGAGAGCTGGTCTTATACTTGATTAGAGGGCTGGAACTTTCAGTCCCCATCCTCCCCAACTCTGGACCTCCAGGGAGGAGAGTGGGGCATGAGCCAGGCTTGGTGACTCCAGCTTGTAATCCTGCCACTTTGGGAGGCCGAAATGGGAGGATCTCTTGAGGCCAGAAGTTTGAGGCCAGCCTGGGTAACATGGCAGTACCTTATCACTACAAAAAAAAAAAGAAAATATTAGCTAGGGATGGTGGTGTGCACTTGTAGTCCCAGCTACACATGAGGCTGAGGTGGGAGGATCCAATAACTTTAGGCCAAGAGGTTGAAGCTGCAGTGAGCCTGATTGCACCATTATGCTGCAGCCTAGGTGACAGAGCAAGACTCTGTATCAAAAAAAACTCAACAGACGGAGGTGGAAGAATCCCTTGAGGCCAGGAATTCAAGACCAGTCTGGGCAACACAGTGAGACCCCATCTCTACACATTTTGTTTTTTGAGATGGAGTCTCACTCTGTCGCCCAGACTGGACTGCAGTGGCACAATCTCAGCTCACTGAAACTTCTGCCTCCTGGGTTCAAGGAATTCTGTCTCAGCCTCCTGAATAGCTGTGATTACAGGCACCCACCACCCCCAGCTAATTTTTGTATTTTTAGTAGAGATGGGGTTTTGCCATGTTGGTTAGGCTGGTCTTGAACTCCTGGAATCAAATTACCTGCCTGCCTCACTCTCCCAAAGTGCTGAGATTACAGGCATGAACTACCACTCCCGGCCTATTTTTACCTTTTAAAAACGTTCTCCTTCTGAGGCAAGAGTGGTATTTTTAGTGATAAACCAGTTGTAAATTTAAATTCTTTAACTCTTGAGTTTTGGGGACATTTGTGAATCTATAGTTGCTATGGAGACCAGAAGATGGGTTTCCTCTTGTTGAATCTAATCTTAGATGAGGGATGAAAACTTAAATGAATCTTAGATGAGGGATGAAACTTAAAAATAAATTTTATATGTGTGTGTGTGTGTGTATACATACACACATATATATATGTATATATATATTTTTTTCTAAGATGGAGTTTGCCCCGTCACCCAGGCTGGAGTGCAATGGCGTGATCTCAGCTCCACCTCCCAGGTTCAAGCAATTCTCCTGCCTCAGTCTCCCAAGTAGCTGGGATTACAGGTGCATGCCACCATGCCTGGCTAATTTTTCATATTTTTAGTAGAGATGGGGTTTCACCATGCTGGCCAGGCTGATCTCAAACACCTGACTTTGTGATCCGCTTGCCTCAGCTTCCCAAAGTGCTGGGATTACAGGCGTGAGCGCCCATACCCAGCCATTTATATATATACAAATGACAAGGTCCTGCTATGTTGCCCAGGCTGGAGTGCAGGGTCTAGTTACAGGTGTGATCCCACCACTGATCAGCACAGGGGTTTTGACCTGCTCCATTTTGTTGTTGTTGTTGTTTTCTTTTTCTTTTCTCTTCTTTTCTTTTCTTTTGTGAAGGAGTTCTGTCACCCTGGCTGGAGTGCAATGATACATTCTTGGCTCACTGCAACCTTCATCTCCCAGATTCAAGCAATTCTCATGCCTCAGCCTTCCGAGCAGCTGGGATTACAGGCAGGCACCACCACATCCAGCTAATTTTTGTATTTTTAATAGAGACAGGGCTTCACCATGTTGACAATACTGGTCTGAAACGCCCGATATCAAGTGACCAGCCTGCCTTGGCCTCCCAAAATGCTAGGATTACATACATGAGCCATGGTGCCCAGCCAACCTGCTCCATTTCTGACCTGGGTTGGTTCATCCATCCTTAGGCAAACTGGTGGTCCCCTGGATCCCCATGAAGGATGGAAATGTTAAAATGTCTTCAAGGTATATTCATGTGATAGCCTGATTTAAATGAAAATGCATGCTACCTAGAATTGTGTTTGATGATTTTTTGAAAAATCATAATTATGACTATTTCCATATGTCATAGAATAGCCCCATAATACCTAGTCTTCAGTTACTTTTGTTTATTTGTTTGTTTGTTTGTTTTGAGACAGCGCCTCACTTTGTCACCCAGGCTGGAGTGCAGTGGCACGATCCTGGCTCACTGCTGCAACCTCGACTCTCAGGTTCAAGCAATTCTCCTGTCTCAGCCTCTCGAGTAACTGGGACTACATGCACCCACCACCATGCCTGGCTCGTATTTGTATTTTTAGTAGAGATGGGGTTTCACAATGTTGGCCAGGCTGGTCTCCAACTCCTGACCTCAGGTGATCTACCTGCCTCTGCCTCCCAAATTACTGGGATTACAGGTGTAAACCACTGTGCCCGGCCCACTTTCTTTTCAATATTTTGGAAGCTACATTCCCCCTACCATTTTTCTGTCTCACACCCCTGGCAAATCTCAATGCTACTATCTCATTTCTCCACAAACAGTCACCAATTTCTGGATCTTCACTGTCTCAAGTATGTCTTACCAAACACACTTTTCCAATCAGCTTGCTCTACTGTTCTCTGTAATAATTATTTAGAAAAATTTTCACTGTTTCCTAACCTCCTTCTTGCCCTTCTTTCCCATCTTCAGCCTAGACTGTTGATCAACCTTGAACAGGTTGATCAACTTCTTATTAAAAATTTCCGCCTAGGTATCTTATAGAATATTAAAAACTGAACTAATGATCTTCAGTCTTCTAAGAGTGATTCCCTTTCAGTAAATGGTACCATTCTCCAAATGCTCAGTGCAACCCAAACCATGTTTACATCTAATCTAATATCAAATCCTGGCGGGGAGGTCTACCCCCCAAATAAACCCATTCTCCATATTCTCCATTTTTGCAGCCATTCCAAGTTAAAAAACAAGAAAACAAAACAGGAAAACAGAAAACAGAAAAAGTTTCAAGTCTGGTCGTGTTGTTCTTCCACACCCCCTTAATTCAAATCTGATTTGCCACAGTCATTAAAAGTCAGGCAGGGCCTAGTACAGTAGTTCATGCCTGTAATCCCAGCACTTTGGATGGCCGAGGTGGGCAAATGATTTGAGGCCAGGAGTTCGACACCAGCCTGACCAACGTGATGAAACCGCATCTCGACTAAAAATACAAAAAAATTAGTTGAGTGTGGTGATACATACCCGTAGTCCCAGGAGAATCTCTTGAACCCAAGAGGTGGAAGTTGCAGTGAGACGGTGTCATGCCATTCATTGCACTCCAGCCTGGGTGACACAGCAAGACCTTGTCTCAAAAAAAAAAAAAAATCAGAATTGAGGAGTAATTTATTCAATGATAATACACTTTAAAGGTTTTTAATACTTTGCACTTATGGTATGTACTATCTTGCAGGAAATAGACATTAAATATACTACTGGCTATACAATTGTAATTAGTACTATTTAATCGGGTTGTAATAAGAGTGTTTAACAGGAAAACCTAATCAAGTGGAGGCCTCCTTGAGGAAATGACTTTAGCCTGAGAGTTGAGGAATTATTGTGGGACTGGAGGAAGGATGAGAGAGCCAATTGTAGAAGCCCAGAGACAGATAGGGTCCTGAAAAGAGCGGAAAGGTCACTGGCTGGCGTTGGGGGCACTACTGGAGGTGTAATTGGAGCTGAAGGCATGTAGGACTTTGTAGCTCATCTTAAGGGATTTGCTCTTTATCCTAAAAATAATGGAAAGTAATTGAAAGGTTTTAAGGATGGTAACATGATGAGATTTAGCTTTTAAAAGAATTGTTCAGCTGGGCGAGGTGGCTCATGCCTGTAATCCACCTCTTTGGGAGGTTGAGGAGGGTGGATCACAAGGTCAGGAGTTCAAGACTAGCCTGGCCAACATGGTGAAACCCTGTCCCTACTAAAAATAACAAAAATTAGCTGGGCATTGTGGCACAGGCCTGTAATCCCAGCTACTCCAGAGGCCGAGGCAGGAAAATTGCTTGAACTGGGACCGGAGAGGTAGAGGTTGCAGTGAGCCAAGATCGTGCCACTGCACTCCAGCCTGGGCTACAGAGTGAGACTGCATCTCAAAAAGAAAAAAAAATCCTTCAGAAGGCAGCGTGGCAGTCTGAACTTACAGTCCCTGCAACTGGGGAGGCTGAGGCAGGAGGATACTTGAGCTCAGGAGTTGGAGACTCCCTTGAGTTATGATTGCAATGCTGCATTCCAGCCTGGGTGACAGAGCGAGACTCAATCTCAAAAAAATCATTCAGGTTTTTTTTCTTAGAGTGTGCATGTCTCCCTGCCACTAATTCTCAGGAGGGCCAAAAAGTTGCTCATTTGGGCAAAATTTGTACTGAGTCATTCCTTTCTTTCATTTCCCTTGACTTCCCCTAGACTTTTTATGGTGTGAGAGTCACACCCTAAGTCTGTACTCATCTACTCTTTTCCTGAACAATAAGATAATCTCTATATCTAATCTCTAATTAATCTATTAGAGTTTCCCTTTGTTGCCCTGGCTGGCATTGAACTCTTGTGATCAAATGAGCCTTCTGCCTCAGCCTCTGCAGTAACGGGCATTGCAAGCGCCTGCTGCCATGCCCTGAATACTATTTTAAACAAACAAAACAAGAACACAAAAATTAAATCTAAACGAAAAGCGCTTGCCAATTCAGGTATTTATGTGACTAGTAAGTAGATCAAGTGTGTTGCTTTCTTGTGAACACTTGGTTCTTTCCTCCCACATCAAAGTGATTGAATTAAGAAGTGTTTAGCTGTTAATGGCCCCCAGGCTTCCCTTTAAGGAAACTGGAGATGGTTGTTTGGCCGGATTTGCGAGCAGCTCAGCTGTTTTTGCCCTCCCCTTCCAATCCATCCACTAGGAATGAGTATTAAGAATTCAGAAGCATTGTTTGCAATTGGATCCAAAGGGAAACTACTAAATATATTCTTATGATACATGTTAGCACCTTTAAAGTATCTGCAAACCATCAAGGGGTAGTTGTGAAGACTCAAAATCCTAAATCACTTAACAGCACGCAGCTGTTGTGAAACAGCTCTTTAGTTGCCATTTTAAACGATGAGAGCATGTCTCTAGCCTCAGCTGCTACCTAATATTGATCAAGCACTCAATAGGTGCAAGAGACAGGAACTGTGGAGAAGGTTGAAAAAAAAAAGCATGGAAACGATGAAAACATCAGAAGCCCAAACTCACGAACCTCTACCAGGCTAACAGATTAGTGAAAACGTTGTTTTGACAGCAAAGGTCTTGAGGGTAGCGCTCCTACTCCTAAACCCCCAGTTCTCTGCACCACATTCAGTAAACGCAACAAACATGCGTTGAGTAGCCAAATGACCCTAACCCACCGAGCCTGCCCTAGAGGCCTGGGTTGCAGAGCTGAGACTCCTATACCTCTTTTGGTCGCCCGCATTTGGGCGTGGTCACGTGACGGGCTCAGACCAATGGGCAGGCCGCCCGTGGGGGGGGGGTCTCCTGCAAAGGCGCCTGTAGCTGCTGCCTAGGGGCCGCCATTATAACAAAAACTGGCGGCGAAGGACCACGAAGAACTGCTGCCCTGCACCTCTTCATCTTGTGCAGACTGAAAGGGGCAATCGCATAAGGTCCGTTTTGTAATCTACAGGTAATATACAGGTAATGTACCCTCCACAGGCGGTGCTGCCTTAGGTCGGCCCCGAGGTGCGCCTTGGGTGGGAACAACCGTTATTTTTCCTCTCCCCTCCCCCACCCCATCAACATCGTGCGACAGTCCGGGCAGTTGAGAAAGCCACCCAGCTTCGTGCCTGTAGCCCAGGTGAGTTGCCAGTAGCTTTCCTTTGGCCTTTCCAACTTCAGGTTCGTTGCCCCCAAGGAATCTTGCTCTCTCTCCCTCTTTCCCCCTAATGTCTGGTTTTTCTGCAAGGGAGGGCTGGGAAGGAGGAGCTTGGGGCGAGGGAGTGGGGCGTCCAGCTGTCCAACTGCTTCCTCCCATTTTGAAAAATACTCATGGTCTTTGTAGTTCCTCTTAGGTCTTGGATTGCTGTGGATCGCTGCTACCTGTGCTGTAATCTTGGAAATGCAGGAGAAAGCACAGGGCTTTTAGCATTAGCTGGCATTTTGTTGTTTGTTCTGCAAGTGGCCATTTGGCATGGGGAAATTCGGATTCTTCATTTATTCATTCAACTAACTTTATTAAGCCCTTTGGAACATGCTAAACCCTCTTCTGGGTACTGCAGAATTGTGGTGGGCCAGACCTCAAGGTGCAGTGACCTGCATTAAGAATTCAGATAGAGGAGGGCGATCTCAGCACTTTGGGAGGACGACACGGGCGGATCACCTGAGGTCAGGAGTTTAAGACCAGCCTGGCTAACATAATGAAACCCCGTCTCTACTAAAAATACAAAAATTAGCCAGTGTGGTGGCACTCTCCTGTAGTCCCAGCTACTCGGGAGGCTGAGGCAGGAGAATCGCTTGAACCCTGGAGGCAGAGGTTGCAGTGGGCCGAGATCGTACCACTGGGAGACAGAAAGAGACTCTGTCTCCGCCCTCCCCCCCGCAAAGTATAAACAGGGACTTTGGGACTCAGATGAAGGGCCTGGGTGGATGGAAGCACAGGTAAGGAGAAATTTCTCAAATGCATGGATGTATGTAAACAGAATAGGGTAGTATGGTGGAGAATTGCCTTTTTTTTTTTTTTGGAGACGGAGTCTTGCTCTGCCACCCAGGCTGGAGTGCAGTGGTGTGATCTCGCTCTCTGCAACCTCTGTGTCCCAGGTTCAAGTGATTCTCCTGCCTCAGCCTTCCTAGTAGCTGGAACTACAGCCGTGCACCACCATGCCTGGCTAATTTTTGTATTTTTAGTAGAGACTTGAACTCACGACCTCATGATCCTCCCGCCTTAG